AGTATGAACAGATGAAAGATTGATGGTGTTTGGGCTGGGGTAAAATGGGGGCTTCCACTTTTCAGTGCAGAAGGGTGGCTGAAAGGATATCTGTAATCCAAGAGGTGGCCTAGATTTGAAGCCCTCCTTTTGCAGATAGATGTTGACCTGGCTGTCAGACTGTGTGCTTGTGCCTGCTTGTTCACGCTGACCGAAGAACAAAAGGCTTTTTAATGAGACATCCCACTTAAGCTTGCGTCTGCATAACTTATACTAATACTGTACGCGTGCCAAGCAGAGCGCGATGCAGCTAGAGATGGACAGACACCACAGCACCAGCAAAAGCAGTTTCTATTCTTTTTAAAGTCTTGTATATTAGATAAATTTGTGATTAAGTTATTTCGTCTAAAACATCAAGTCAAATGTTTATTTCACTCCACTGATAAGATTCAGATTGTTGGCTTCTGTGCCTTGACCATAACATCTTTTAAAAATCTGTAAATCCACTAACTTGCAGCTTTGACTTTAAAATCAATGTAGTCCCTGGAGATACCAAATGTTCATTGTCAACTTGATTAATTGAGATTTGCCATTCATTTGATAATGTGGCAAATTTGCCAGACAACAGCTTGTAGTTGTACCGTTTGAGTATTTCTATTTGAATCAACATTCAATCGTATAAAAAGATTAAATGAACATTGCCGAACCTGATTGGAGCTTTTCTACACTATTTCAGGTTTTTTATGTACTTGTAAGTACTTTGTAATAGTGACAGTAGAATTGGATTTTTTGAGCAGAACAAACTATTGTAGATTTTTCCATTTCAATTTGACAAATCATGGCTTAGAAATTCTAATTTTTAAACCCCTAGAAATAAACTTGAAAGAGTCAGAGCAGTGAGGGGAAGACATGGACGAGGGGAAAAGCTTTTTACCCACAAAATCAAGGATCATTTGCAGTCTCATTCAAGCTGTTGTTGCATCCCCCTCCCTTTCCCTTCTCTCCAACTTTCAGCCATTTTGGTTGAAATTAAATACGGCTGCAAAAAGGAGGGGCCGTCCTGCACTTTACGGGTGTGGGTATGAATGGGTGCGTGCTGGAGTGTGAGCGCGATAGACTCTGTGCAGCTTTGACAATGGAAGGATTGTATGTGGTCTATATTTATGCAGCCATGTGCACACCCAGCAGACTGGCTGTGATCAGACAGGGAAAGGCTGGCTGATTGATTATATGTATAAGCCAAATTTAGACTAAATGTTGTTTTGCAATCCATAAAATGGGACGGTATTGGATAAATATGAATGCATCAATATGAAAAACTGTATGTGGTTCTGGTTGTTGCTTTGTGTTCAGGAAGAGGCAGTATTCTCTTGAGAATAATTATTTAAAAAGCAAAATTGTATTAATTTTCAAAGTTTAATCAGATGCATAAACAGTAGAGTCGGCTGTAGAGGTTAGAGAGGCAGCGCGCTGAGAGCAGAGCAGGTTGGAAAATGTGGAAAATGAATAGCAGAAAGTGAGGAAATGCTATGAATCCCTGTGTGTTTGCTCCAATTAAAAGAAAACTTTTACCTTGCACTTGTAGCTGAAAGCCTGGCAGCAGTTTTAGAGAAAAAGTAAGCAAGATAGAATAAGTGAGTATGAGAAATAAAAGGTGAGGCAGCCAGAACTCCTTGGCAACCAAAGCAGAGAGGGGCCGGTTTCTACACCACTCCTGCTGTGTTTGTGTGTGTGTTTCCGAGGACTGGACTGCCTGAGGGCGGAGTTGTGGGGGAGATGGGGGAGTGGTGGACCTTGTGTGTGTTTGCGGAGACGTAGGGGTAGAGACGTATTGTCATCGTAGTAGACGCCCGCATGCACGCAGCCGAGCAGCCCAGTGGCGAGAATGTGAGGCGAGGATTGTCCAGTTGACTTTTTTCCATTTTTCCCCCCCCTTTGGCTTAAATTTTTATTTTCTGAGCCACCTTTTTTCTCATCAGAGGACATCCACGTTTAACTGGAATAATGGTGTTTATTGGAACCTCGTTAAAGTCCATTATTAAATACTTCAAAAGGAAGGGTGAGATGGTTTCCTTTGTTTAAAAATACGCATATATATTGATTTAAGTCATTTTTAATTTCCTTTTGCATCAAAATTAAACTGATAATAAAAACTTACAGAAATAGTGCGTCTTGCATAAATTTGAAAGATTTTTTTGCATGAGCTGTGTGCAGATTTCCATTAGTTCTCCATTTATTTGAACTTTCTCAAATTCCTTACTTGGTAGCTGATTTAAGTATCAAAGCATCATCATTTGTGGTTCGCTTTAAATTACAACTAATAACATCCAGTGTTTGTGTTGCTTCTTCTCCTGCAGTGTGTACCTGTAACCAGGTAACCACTGGCCCAGGACTCCAGACCACTCTAAAAAAAAAAGTTCAGCAGCTCTTAAAGATGACAGTAGTAGGAGTTTTGAAAACCAGCAACTTTACTAGAGATAATGAACATCTCTTTGCCAGCTCTGGAAAATGTAAAGGGTTTGTGGTGTTTACTTTAGGAGGTAAGCACTTTCCATGAAATGCCCCTGCATCACGTGAGCACAGCAGATTATGGTTAAGACTGTTAAGTTAATGTTGCGAGGGTGTTTTATCAATGGGTTTCTGGTGAGCACGTGAGGACTTAAAGACCTCACTGATGCAAGACAAGCTGCTTGTGAAGACTACCTGAGGTTTATTTATTAATAGCTTGTGTTTGTGCGCTCAAGTCGAGGCTGAGGTGATGGTATTAATGATTATCTCAGCATTTCTGTGCTTCACGTTTCTCATCCACACACAGGGCTGCACTTCGGCCTTCAGCTGAGCACCTTGGCTCTCTGGGGGGGCCGACATTGACCTATAATTTGGTCCCCAGAGGGTCCTGTGTGGTCATTAACCCGACATAAGAGTTTGTTTTTTTAAGTACAGTCATGTATTGATGCCATTTTATCACATATACGACAACTGAAGTAACTTTATTTAAAGAAAACATTAAAATATGTATTGGTGGGCTCTGTCAAATTTGAATAGATTTGAGGTTAGCTGCCTCTATTACAACTTGTTATCTTAGTAGCGTAGTAGAGTTTGGGCAGTTTTGAAACTTGATGCTTAATGCTATTATTTTGTGGGTAATCCTGGATCCAGCTCTGGATTATCAAATATGTGAATATAATTTCCTCACAGTTGTGTTTTGCAGTTGTGCTGTGGGGCATGCTGTTTCATCCTGGGATCTATATTTGCAGCTTTTTATATATTCCTTGTCATTTAAAGCTTTGACAGCCCACTTGCTAAGTTTGTTTGTTAACAAGCATGAGGAGAGCTGGGATATCAATGGTCAGTGGGATTAGGGAACTTTTAAAAAGACATGCCCGCTAAACCAGTGAGTGTGACAGTGTGTGTGTGTGTGTGTGTGTGTGTGAGTGTGTGTGTGTGTGTGTTGAAGAGTGAGGGGGTATTGTGGCTCTGAAAGGCCTGATGTGGAGGCTGATGCAGAGGGACAATATGGGCTTTGTGTCCTTAGTCCCCATGTCCTTGGTCTGCTCATAGTCTGTGAGGTCTATTGAAAGCCAATAGTTCGAAAGGAGCATGGGGGAGGGGCTACCTGTGCTCAGTTTGTATGGGAGAGCATGATAAAAATGGTTTAGGTAACATCTTTTAGGATGGAAAGCTGTTTTTTCGGGATGAGCCTTGTTCACTCTCGGTTTAGCTAATTCGGCAAATCTGAAGCAAATAGCTGCTTGCTGGTACACCCAGTAGTTTGCAATGTTTTTTTTCCCCAAAAAATGTTGAGACACTCAGCTGTATTTTGGCTGCAGAAATAAATAATAGATCAATAAACTACTCGTACTTCTTTAGGTGACAGACGCACTTTTGCATGTAACTGCGTAGAAGAGCTGCCCATTTGCAGATGCAGGCCGCTGCCCCAATCCACTGGTGGCTCCATCCTCCCCCATCACACTCTCACATGCGATGTGTCCTACCAGAGCTCATTTGCACCTGTGGAAAAAAAAACCTCTAACAAAAACACTCCCCACACCCTCATCCATTGCCATTAGCCGTCCACCCTTCCTCCTGCTTAGTCCTGGCCTCTGCCTCTCTCCTGGTTAGCCGTTGTTATGGTCACGAAAAGGACAAAGGGATTGTAGAATTCACCTAATATTTGACTCCTGAAATGGAAATAATTCTACATCCTCGATCACCTACTTTGGCCTGGCTGCAATCACTTGGTAAGCCCCCAAAATAGATTAAGCACCAGAGCGAGATTGTAAAATGATTTCATGTTATTTGGTTATCAAAGCAGATTCCTTTAGATGAGTGAGTAAGATGACTGCATATGCTTCAGGATGTGACCGGCAGAAAATGAAAGGGAAACAATAGGGACATTTAATTGTTTTGCACTGAGAAGTCTCTAAGTCATAAAAAGATGTAGACTACCCGATGTAAACTGGTGTGGAGAATGCAGTAGAGACGTACTTTTGATAGTAATTTTGCAGAAACTTTGTGTGGCTCTTGGCTTTGCAGAGTTAAGCTTAAAAACGGACGTGAGGTAGCTGTCTCGAGTTGAGTCTCCAGTTGTCTGTTATCATTTCTGAGTTTGAAATCGACTGGTCAGTTCCCTCCAATGTGAGTTTATCCCTCCCCCCTCTAACATGTGTGGCTGGCTGAGACTGTGATGTCTCAGATAAGTGTCATGTCGAAGGTGTGGATACCGGCACCTTGTTACAAGGGGAAAACTCCTCCCCTTCCTTTTTCTCTGAGTACGTAAACAAACCATCCGAGTGGTCATTACTTGTAGGACGTTTTCTCACTTCAACGTTTTTCTCAGTTTGAATTGGCAAGCTGATACAAGATGTTACTGACACACCTTTTTTTCCCTATGCAACACCGCTTTTGTTGACAAAAGAACAGTTGTCGGTAGGATGACTTGTATTATATTAATGGTGCCGCCCATGACAGCAAAGACAAGGTTACACAAAGTCAGTGATTGCTGTGTGGTGTCTCTGCAGCTGTGTCCAACCTGGATGAGGAGAGCAAGTGGACAGTTCACTACACAGCTCCATGGCACCAGCAGGAGAACGTCTTCCTACCAGGCAGCAGGCCACCCTGCGTAGAGGACCTCCACCGCCAGGCCAAAGTCAACCTCAAAACTGCCCTGCGAGGTAAAGATCCCTTGGATAAAAGCACGTCAGAGTCTGATGAGATAAAGAACTTATCAGGGAGATGTAATGACCATCTACATTTATGCTTGTTGTTGTTTGTAACTGGCAACCTATCCAGTGTACCCCGGTGTCTCGCCCAGTGTCAGCAGGAATAAACACTATAGACCGTGGATGGATGGATGTTTGATCAGTTTGTTTAGGTTGCCCAGTGCCATTGTTTAGTATTGGGTATTGATTAAACTACTACCATACATCCCCCCCTATCAGGAAAACAGCTAAGTATTTAATTAATTTTTTCATAAAAGAATATTAAGGTATTCATCTTATTTTTTTATAGTCCAAATATAAAACAGAAGGGTTCTCATGAGCTATCACCTGTTGGCAGTGACACATGAAGGTAAAACAACCAGAATGTTGTATTTGTCTGCACGATGAAAAAATGTCAAACCATAAAATCTGTGTTTAGCCAACAGCACAAAAATGTGAGCTCATCTTCTTCTTCCTGTTTGCCTGGTACGATAAGAGGGAGAGGGCGTTGAATTACAGCAGAGTGACAACTCTGTCTATAAAATTCACAAAGTTTTCCCACAGCAGGAAGCCTGAATGCTAGTAAACACTGCCACTAGTTTCACAGTCTCTGTGAGGGAGGGGGGTGTGTTTTTCACCCAGGTCTCAGATAACGGTGTGAGAGCCAGATATGGGAAAACACTTGCGTCTGTGTATTTGTGCATATGTGCTTTTTCCATTTGAGTTTGGTACTTCTGGAAAGTGTTACACTCATTGCTTTGCTCATGGAAGGAGAAGAGATCAAAATAAATGGTAAGGTGGTTGCAATAAGATGCTTATGGTTTGGGCATATTATCTTTCTGAAATATTGATGCTCCTCGGTTTACAAACGCTCAAACACCACCTGGGAGGTGGGATAATTTCATCCGCCCCCCCACCTCAACTTGTCACCGTCCCTTCCAAGCATCACCACCCAACCCCAGGGGTCCCAGTTGAGACAGCAGGTGCTGAACGAGAACACCTGTGCTGTACACATGAGCCTCTCTCTGTTAGAGCTCTTTGTCCACTCCCAGAAGTGTACGAGCCTGGTGGTCACACATCGGTTACATTTTTAACGCTATTACAGTGTTTGACTGCTTTATAATGTTTATTATCCTAGCATGAATTGATCATAATTGTTATATTACATGTAGGTTTCAGTCAATCAGTGGTAAGGCCTTTATTGGTCCTGTCCACACAACCATGACGCCCACAGGCTCTTGGATGAGCGTGCCATGTTGTGTGAGCCTGATCTGTCCTTTGTCCAAGTTATCAATAAGCATTCACATGGCAGCACACATCCTCTTTCTGCCCCTCTGACTCTCACATGGATGCCAGCGTGTGGTTGCCTGTGAGGTCTTTTGAGGCTGCTTTGGGGCTGCTGTGCATGTCCCAACTGATCGAAACAAACGTTAAGAGTTACACAACATGCTAGCAGCCGTTGATACTTTCAAGAATTAATTACTGGTACAGTGAACGGTGATGTTGTGAGATACAGTTTTTTCATTCTGTTCACTGTACCCAGGCTCATCTGCATGATCATCAGTGTATCGTAACTCTTCACTTTTTTTTATTACAATTGAGGTTTTACTTTTTTATCTATGATTTAGAATAAAGGACGAAACCGGTGGTTCTCTCAGCCACTGCTTTTTGTCGTGGAAACACAGCTAAAGAGTGGTCCTCAAATTTATTTTCACTCCATCTTTTCAATAGCATTCATGTTCTCTTACTCCCTCCAGTTCTGCCTAGCAACAAGCTACATCCATCTCATCAAGCCCCATTTTTTTTAGATACCCTATCAACACCAACAGCCTAATTATCATCATGCTTCCTAATTTCTGTTTCCACACTGCTGCCTTGTGTCACCGTTGTAACATTAGTTTGTGTACCGAGCCCCATCAGGATCCATTAGTTGACAGTGTTTTACACGCATCAGTGCGCCTCACCATAGAGATGAGCTGTAATTAGCTGTGGAGATAAATTGCACTTAAAAGGGATCAAAAGCAGCTTCTTTGAAGCACCAGGGTAATAGTAATATGGGTGCTCTTTGATACATCTATCAAAGTGTATTTAGTGATACACGCTAAATTAAAAACCCAAAATGCCAAATGGGAGGGGAAAAAATTAATTATTTTCTTTGCATTTGAGTTAATCAGCAATGCCAAAAAAAATGACAACAGTTCAAATGAAACGTAAAGCTGCCTTCAGTAAAAGGGAAAATGGTGATTGATTTCTACAACATTCCGTTTACTGGGACCAAGACAGACAGGCTTTAACTTTTTTAAAGCTTTATAAATAATTATTATCAAGTTTACTCTATGAAAATAAAAAAGAGAGGATGCGGTCATAAAATCTGCAGACACAGCCAAGTGTCCCCTGAGAGGGAGGTGGGTGGAGAAAAGAAAAGAGACAGTTTTGCCATCTGCGAGTGACAGACTGAAACTGATACCCCCTCTTCTCACACAAATTTCTCTTATCACACTTTGGCGCTCGCGCACACACCATGTCCTCCTCACAGCAGGTGGTGACAAGAGGAGACATGAGCAGAGCTTGGCAGAGTCCAACAGGGACTACTTTCACATGACTGATAGTAGACACACACTCTCTCATGGTATGGTGTATTCTATGATGCACAGTAAATAAATAAGAAATGGCTGTTTACGGCCTATAAATAACTCACACAATCATCCAGCTACAGTGCTTTTGGCAACTAGAACTAATGACATTATGTGTATAGAATGCCACCACAAATCAGCCATTACTTCAAGTGAAAAGACTGTACTGAATTTTGTCAATCCTGTTTCTCATCCCGGGTTTTTTGAGCATATGTAATTTAATTATTATGTGAAATAAAGATTTTAGATTTTATAACATATGTATAAAACATAATTTGCTCACCGTTTCTCTGCAATCTCCTGAAAGTTCTTTGAGCTGTATAAACCCCCCCTCATGAGACAAACATGATCATATCCATGGCAGAATAAAGTAGTTAGTAGTATATTCTGCACAATTTGACTGCTCTGCTCTGAGTACAAAAAGCTGCATCTTCTCTTCTTTTAGGTCCACCAGTTTAAGACCCATTTGTCTTGCTTTTCTTTCCAGAATGTGACAAGTTGAGAAAGGATGGTTTCAGAAGCTCCCAGTACTACTCACAGGGACCCACCTTCTCAGACCCCTTACAGTCCACCAGTAGTCTGCAAGATGATGAGGATGATGAACATGACAAGAAGGTAAGGATGTTAATTGTGTCATTTGAAACAATCGTGATTATGGTTATTTATTCACTTAGCCTGTTTGAAAATATTGAGGACAAACAGACAAAATGTCACATTTGTCATTTCCTACCATTCAATAGAACTGATAGTCAAAGAGTTGACATTGAAGACTTAGCAAATCTTTCATGTTCTATTTTTAAAGCCTAAGATTAAATGGTTAATTGCAATTACTCGTATGAAAAATCTTTGTCTCCTAAAATGGTTATGACAGCCTTACACAGAGACGGAAAAGGTTTGCATGACTCCCTTTAAAATAATGTCTGTCTGCCCTCTAGTGGTTAGCAATGAAAACATTACATTTAAGATAAAGTGTGGCCTCATTAAAATCGAAACTGTTAAATCAATCACATTATTATGTAATAAAATATTTTCACCTTATTAAACCAACTTATTTATGCCTCTTTCTTTTACACACACTCTTGACTTTAATCATATGAAATAGTGTGTTTTATTTTCTTTCTTGTCATCGGGTTTTTAGACTGGGCTGACCATGTAGAGATAGACTTCTCCTTTTGATCTCACTGTGATGTTTTACCTCACACTTGGCTGTCTGACATACCTGTGTTTCATAACAGATTGAGCAGGAGAGATATGCAGCCAATAAAGACAAAATGGGGGCTTAACAAGTAAAAAGAAAATTAGTAGTTAGAGACCGAAAAGACCTTTAATTGTTCTTTTTATTAGAAATTAGAGTTAAATTAATTTATTTGTCAGATCTATATATCTTCCCATCTTATCAACGATCACATTCAGACACAGTGTTAAATTAGGGGTCCTGGAAGGGTCAGTGGGTTTCACTTATTGGGGTCTCCTTTGTCTCCAGAGCTTTTCAAATCCAGACGCTCATTAAATGCTTGCACTGACCCTTGACCTTCATAATGAACTGTCAACTCCTATTTCTTATTTCTATTTCTGCAAACTAACCTCCCCTGTCCTCCCCTCACTTATTCCCCCTGTGCTCTGCCCTCTTTGGCGTCTTGTCCTCTCCCCACTTTTTGTCCCCTTCCATTCTCTTTCCTCACTTCTCGTTGTCCCGGTGCTTTTGAACCTAACCATTGCTGACAGCATCTACTGCAACTTCAAAAGGAGTAACCGGCTCCTGGTTGAGACACAGTGATGTAAAAATAAATGGGGCATGTTTGCCACCAAATTATAGCTGCTATTCCTTCTCAACACTGCCACCTCCTCTCCTTCTGTTTCTTACCTTGTCTTCTCCAGTCTCTCCTTGCTTTCTATAGATACCCTAGAAAACTATATCACCAGATAATTCCCATCCCAGAGACTAAAGACTAGCTACATGTAGAAATTAGAAGTAATAATGGCTCTGTCCAAAGTCTGGAGGCAGGAGTGAAACATCACCGTGTTTGTTCTCCTGCATCACAACACAGAACAGTGTGCCAAATCAGTTTATACATAAGGGATTGTCAGTGTCCCTCCTCCTTGTTTTATCAGAGCTTTTACTATTCAGTCTGTAGCTGCTCGGTCATCTCACTTAATTGCCGTTTGTGTGACGGTTTTGATAATGAAACATGTTTATAGGATCACAAGCATCTAAAGGTCACTGCCGTGTGATAAAACCTTCCATATCCATCCATAACAGTCTGTCGGTTATGGATATGAACTTCGCTTTGTCCGATTTTGATTTCAACAATATACATTACTGTTGGCTATTGTTTACTCTGGTTTTTTGTTTTCATTTGCTCTCGTTGATTTTCTCTCGCCTTCATGTTGCTTGTCATCTATCTCATCACACTCTCTTCTTTGATTTATTCTGATCTCTCTTCATCTCTGCTGGCCACCGATCTGCCTCATTTAGTCTTTTGGAATTCATGTTTTTTGGCCACAGAAATCAAATTTTTTCATTACCCTTCCAGTCGACTGCTTCATCAGGGGAGGACGACAAATCTCAGCTCTCCATGAGATCCCACACTCCCCAGGGATCGGGTGATGTTGGGGAGATGGCAGAAGTCGATGGAGTTGTGGTTTGGAACAAGGCTGGACCCCTCCCCACCCCGGAGGAGAAGATGAGACGGGCAGCTCAGGCCGTGCCAACAGATATCGTTGCCATCAACGTCACAGGTATGTCATACCTACAGAGAACCACAGCTGAAGACTTCCCATCATTCATTAGAGTCTACGATCAAACGTCCTGACCTATCATCCCACTTTGTGGGACATACAGGAAGTTCACCCTCTGCTTCTATTCTATTATTGCATTTGGATAGCACTGATATCCAACTTCAGTTTGAATAAAACTGGAAAAAGGAGAAAATTTTTTCCTTTGATCAATTCTCTGAATTTGGATGCAGTATAAATAGCATTTATTAGGCCATGTAAGAGCAAAACTGTGAGACATGAATATCCACCTCTGTTACCATCCCCCTGATATTCACTTTCCTTTACTCATGTTGGAGTGAGCGTTTGCGTGTGAAAATTGTTTGACAGTCTATCCAGGGGTCAAGGTTCTTTCTGAATTTTTGTCACCTCAGCGTTAGTTTGACAGATGAACACATGTCCACAGCAAAAAAAAGCGATTCAGTTCTATTTTTCATTTTTGGTGCTGTTTTTTTCTTCAAGCTTTCCAATACACATACAGTATATGATCCTGCAGGCAATGACTGAATTAAGAATTGCTTAATTATTCATTATTATGATTCAGTCACAAAATTATGTTGGCCTGAGATATATCGAGCTAAGACTACACATGCTGCAAACCAACCAACACTGTGGGGGGGGGATTTCCGCCATTAGCAGTGATCCAGACGGTCCATGGAGGAGCAGTTCCACACTTTAGGGAAACGAGAAAGTGCGAAACACACATCGAGTAACATTGAAAAACTGGTTGTGTAGTGAGTTGCCTCACACTATGTATGTCTTGTTCATGTGTGTTTCAAGAGCATGCACTTTCATTTGTTTCCACTTCAGATACTCAAAGTTGAAAAGAAAATTTAACAACCAGCCAGCAGTTCTGCTCATTCTTTGACAAATACTCCGTCACCTCCTTCTTTACGGCTTCTATTAATGAAAAATAACTCAAGTGCTTCGCTCTTAAGATCGAAAAAACAAAAAAATACAACTTTGGCTGGTTGTTAAAGTTCCAGTTCAAGTAAATCACATGAAACATTTTCTTGCCTGCTCAGTTGAATTGCAGAGTATGAATAAAAAATTTAAAAACTCGACAGGGCTGCAGGGAGGTGAGAAAATGTTTCATGATATATTTGGTTGAACTGACCCTTGTGCTCCCGTCCTGTTGATGCTGCATGTTGAGCTAAAAAACAAAACACCAACCCTCTGCATGTTAACGATTTTGCTCCTTCCGACTAACCGACTGCATTTGCCTGTGTGTTTGCCTGCCTATGCTCTCAACCTCCCGGCCTCCAGGGGCAGTGTTTGACCGCCAGGCAAGCATCCGGCGCTCCCTCATTAACACTGACACCGTGTCCCGCCGGCCCAAGAAGGTCAAACGCAGAAAGACAATATCAGGGCTGCCTGACAACGTCAACCTGGAGCTAGGTATGGACCACTGTGGAGCTACACCTTGCCCTATGCTGCCCACAGACCTGTATCAATGCCCCCCCCCCCCCATGAGCACCTGTTCCTCTATCATTTCTTATCACCCGGTTTTCTGTAGATGTACACTTTTATATAACACAACAACACACATTGTTCAACCTCATTGAGAGGGAGAAACAGGAACTGTCAAAGAATAAGTTTCAGTAAAAAAAATGTCATATCAACAAACACACAGTTCAGTATAGATTTTACTCTATACATACATATATATATATTTATTTATTTTTTAAACTTTGGGTGCAACCTTTTCAACTTACCTTTCTGTTTTCTGTTTGCCATAATTATCTGAAAAAGCAATACCATCCTCTTCTGATCCTTAACTTTTCAGTGCATGCAATCCCCAACTGTCAGTTGAGTTCTACATTTCAAATATAGAGGTTCAGACACTCCCCGACTTTAGTTACTCTGCAGAGTTGGGTGTTAAGTGAACACTGAGTTCCATAAGCTGGCCGTGTTCTGACGGTGCAGCATGACTAATGTTTATTTACATATCGCTGAGCTGTCAGATAGCAGCAGAATTTCAGAAGGACGTCAATTCTCTCAAAGCCAGCACTGAGATCACCAAGGCTGATAGGAAAAGAGCTTTAAAGTCTGGTTCATGCTCCGTTGACTGCAGCGCCTGAATGTCATGATTGCTGGACTGGAGTAATTGTCCCTGTGCCTCATCCCTCCCTCTGCTTGCACCGGAGCTGCCTGCAAAGTAGACCTGCAGCTTAATCTATCGCAGCAGCAGCAGCTTAGCTGTCAGTTTAGCTTTTAGCAAAGGAAGAGCAGGGTGTATGTGCGCTTTAAAGACTGAGGGATGAGAAAGGACAGGATGCAGGAGTGTGTGTGTTTTGGAATACAGGCGTCAACAGGAGAGCCTTCACAAATGAAAGACACATTAGAATCCCTCTCTCCTTTTAATCCTCCTTCAAGTTGCTTATCAGCTGGTAGGATCGGTGTGCATGTGTTTATGAGATATCTGCACTTCTGCATGTTCTTTCGCCAGCATACGGTGTACGTTCTGTTGACTGTGACTGTGCATGAGCAAGTCAACATTATGTATGCATGCTCGTGTGTTTTTGTAGAAGCATGCGTCCAGGTCATTTTTGCTGCAAAGCGCTTCACCAGCCGGCTGCCTGCTCTGGACCCCAAAAGTCTGTTTAGCCTCTGTCAGAATAAGCAGGAGACAAAGTCAGACAGGAAGCACAGTCGAGCCTGTTCCTCCTCTCTCCGTCTCCCCTCATATAATTTCCTCCTTAATGAGGAAGACCAGAGGTAATTAAGGCATGTGACAGGGTGCTATCAAATCAAATTAATATGTTTCCCAGTAACGGCAGTTTATTTGACCCCACAGCAGAACAACAGGAGCCACTGTGAATCACTAAGTCATCAAGAGCCAGATAAAGTGTAGCTGGGAAAGAGGTGCAAAGATTTGTCAGGCTCATATTTTTACCTTCTATACTCTGTTTCTTTTAAAACAGCAAAAGGAAGAGGTGGAGAGCTTCGGCCACATTCCATGTTCATCCCGGGACAGTACTCCACTTTGGGCCGAGTTGGGAGTGTCAACTCAACCCTTCGACGTTCAGACACCAGAGACTCCTGCAGCCAGACAGAGGAAGTGAAGATTGTACCTCCGTCCATGAGGAGAATTCGAGCACAGAGAGGACAGGGGATCGCTGCTCAGATGGCTGGCATATCTGCTTCCTCCTCAACAGGAAGTATCTCCATCTCCAGCAGTGACAGCTCTGGCATCTTGATCCTGCCTCATCAGTTTAACGGAGACCCTTCGCGCTTTCTCAGTCTGCCCCGACCGGGGGCCAGGGTGTCCCTCAGTGCGGATCCCATCTACAGCAGCACGCCCATCAAGTCAGACGAGCAGTCTCAAAGGCAGATCGGAAAGCTTCAGGTGGACGATACGGCGGTACACATGAGAAATGCCCCAAGGACGAGCACCTTGCCCAGGCCCAAGTCTCAGGAGGTGAGGGGGACACAGTCCAGTGAGTGGGGTGGTGGTCCAGCCTGTGTGGTCTCCCCCCATGCTGCTTATTCCACCTCTATGATCCCCAATGCCACCATGTCTAGCTCCACTGAGGTCATTAGTCTCAACAAGTTGGGCCAAGTACCCCCGTCGCCGGTCTCTGCTTATGCCACAGCGCGACCACTCTGCAACTCTTCCTCCACCATCACTGACCCCCTGACTCCCAGTCTAACAGCCTTTACCCACAGCTCCACCTGTCCTGCTTTGGCCAAGTCTGCTCCTACACTGCAGGAGGCTGGTCTGATGGTCACAGGGCCTGCTAGCGAATCGGGTCACTCAGACGGCAGCGTCCACAGCCATAGCACTCTGGCTCCCACACCACCGTCCTGTCTACCGGAGGAGCAGTGGATATACGACACACCAGAAAATGTGATGGTTCAGCATCGCACTCTCACCTCAAGCTCCTCCACTCCCATCAACCAGCTCTACAGCAGCCTGGACCTCTCCTCCAGAACCACAACGGACTCAAGCTCCCTCTACTCCCAGGACAACGATGGATACTACACCTCTATGCACCTGGACTCGGGGCTGCGCTCTCGCAGCCATGGCAGCGGCCACGGGGCAGCCGCTGGACGGGCCACGAGGCACAGCATGTACGAGTGCCGCGAAATGGCCGGCCAGGAAGACTCTGGGAGCCTGTACAGCGACCGCTCCCTGTCCCGCAGCATCTCCCTTCGGAAGTCCAAGAAGCCTCCGGCGCCCCCGGCTCGCACAGATTCCCTTAGACGCAAGCCTGGGGGCAAAAAGCCGCTGGGGGGCGTCAACGCCTTCGGCGGTGCCAAGGAGCCGAACGCCGCCATGCTCAATGAGACCCTGATTGCCAGCCTGCAGCAGAGCCTTCATAACGGGCTGAGGGGAGGGAAGGGAAAGGGGGCGTCGCCGTCTTCGCCGTCTCACAGCCCCAGCAGCGACTACGAGGACCCCTGGATGCTGCGGCCTCGCAGCCAGAGCAGCATCAGCGCGGGCAGCTCCGCAGCGTCGCTGGCAGCGAACATGAGCTGCGGCGCCGTGTCCAACGTGTACTCGTTGTGTCAGGTGACGCCGGCGCACAGCGACACCAGCAGCCTGCGCTCCGACTACGCAGAGTCCTGGGGATACTACATGGACTACCCTCGTAACCATGGAGATCAGAGGGCGCCGACCCCCCCGGTGCAAACCGCAGACATGTCCGCCGGCATCCATCCCGGAGCCTTGCAGAACGGAGGGGAGATTCACAGCAGCAGCCAGGGCACCGGGGCACCGGGCCAGGGGCGAGAGGGCTCTGCGAAGCCCAAAGCCTCCAGCTCCTCACCGGACAGGGTGCACAGGCTCACCTCCCCGTCTAGCGGCTACTCAAGTCAGTCCAACACCCCCACAGCTGGAACTCCAGTGCCTGCCTTCATCAGGTCCATGTCTCCTTCAGGCAGTCGGCCCAAACCCAAAGTGCCGGAGAGGAAGTCATCTCTCCTCTCCTCAGTCTCCGTCTCCTCCTCCTCTACGTCCCTTTCCTCCAACACTTCGGACTCACTCAAGAGCTCTGGTCCTGCCCCGCCACCACCTCCACCTCTGCCTTTCTCCTCTTCTCTCAACACCCCTATAAGTCCACCTCCACCTTTCCCTCCCCCTTTACCACCAGCTTCCACTGCTGCGTCCTCCTCTCCTTCTCCATCTCGGGGCTCTACTCAGAGCCCCCTCCCGTATAGCTCCACTTCCCCAGAATTCCCTCCTCCTCCATCCCCCGATATGCTGGTCCATCACAGTTCATCGTTTAACGGTAGCTTCAGTCCTCCGCCTCCTCCATCTGCCCCCTCCTCAGGGCCCCCTCCTCCACCCCCTCCACCTCCCCTGCCTGATTTTGCCCCACCTTCCTTTGCCCTATGTGTTAAAAAGACAGCAAAGGATGCAGCTAAACCAGCTCTTTCCCTCAGCCCTACAAAGTCACCTAAGCCCCTGATCACCCCCTTTGCACTGCAAAGTGTTCAGCTCCGCTCTGTCAAGCGGCCGGAGAAGGAAATGAATGCCAATTTGGACCATATAAAAGCTCAGGAAACCGGGCTGGACCTCCTCCAGGGTCTAAAGCCTCTGACTCAAAATTCATCGGACACCCAAGAGCTTCCCACTGTGAACAGCCCTCTAGAGGATGATTTGCATCAATCCTCACCATCTCCTGTGACAAAGCTTTTAGAAGAGCTGTCATTAGACTGCAGTATCACAGATCAAACAGCAGATTGCGCCACTACAAAAGCCGGGGACCAGAGTTACTATCTTCTAAATGGAAAAGAAAATGAGGAAGGGCAAGCCTTAGCCAGTCCCCCGCAAAGCCGCGAAGGCTCTCCCATCAAACAGCCCCCAGCAGTCTCCAAGAAACCCAAACTTTTGCTTGTCCCACCATTTAACCCTCAGCCAATCAATGAGCAGGACCCAGCTCAGCATGAGGATCAAACCGATCTGTCCCAAACTGAAGACCAAGTGGATGCACTGCTCAGACTAATGGACGAGGACATTAAAGAGCAACAGGAGGAGAGTTCAGAGCTGTTTACAGAGATCAGCGAGACATCAGCTGAAATCCAGCGCGAGTCCATAATTTCTACTTCTGCAGGCCACCAATCAGGTCATGACCAAGAACCTTACGTTAATGGCGAGGCTCACGAACAGGAAGAAGTGGAGGGAGATGGAACAAGTAGCACCTCTGAGTCCTTCAGCTCCAGGGAGGACGACATGGGTAAATCTAACTTTTTTTTCCAAAAATAAGTGTGACTTTGAAAAGTTCAGATTGAATTTGAAATCACTTGTTTAAATATTCCTCCAGTCCATTTACTCATCAGTTAAGCCATCATCATATGCGTGCTTGGCTGGAAGTTGGGCTGCCGCCAGCTGTTTGTGTGGCCAGCTCCTCTGTGAAATGAATTATTTCCCCCAAAGCAGAGAAAATAAACTTAATGCAAGGAGCTTTTCAAGATTTGTAAACTGTGAAACTAGAGCAGTGGGGACAGCTTATCACTGGGACAGCAGTGCTGCAGCCTCGTGAAATCCTCCTCTTACCGTCCTATGCCCATGGTAGTAGATTTTATATGCAGAGTGCTCTCGTGGATACGGCCCCTTCATTTTGTCCTATATTGCTCATTTTCCCCCCACCCTCCCACACATCGCAGCCTCCACTTTCAGCTAGACTCTTCGTCATCATCCATCCTTCTGTTCAAATATCCATTTTTATCTCAGCCTTTTCTTCTTTTTTTGTGTTAATCTCTCATCCTCAGTCTTTCCAACACTGCCTCCTCTCCCTCTGTCCTGCTCCCTCTCCATCTCTCTGAGGGTAAGGGAGGGGGCATATGTCCCAAGGGGAGATGTTTTTTTTTCCTTTTTTTTTGTGGTGGGAGGGGGATGGGGGAGGGGCTCTATTATATCAGAGAAGAGGGAGGGGAACCGATCTGGAAAGGGGATGAAGAGAAGGATGGGTCGAGCGTAAAGTGTGACTGCATGCAGTGGCTCAGGCAGTTGAGGCTCAGGAGGAGCAGGAGGAAAGGAGTTAAACCAGATGGAAGAGAAGAGGAGATCTGTAGGCAGAAAGAGAATGTTAGAGGACAGTCCCAGAACCTGGGCTCCACTTTAGCTCTCACAGGCAGCCAGGTTAATGCAAAAAGCAGGAGTGTGTGGAGTATGTTTTGCTCTTACTTTCAGCTTCTGTGTGGATGTGAATAGTTTGTCTTTCACCCTCAGGTGAGGTTTTTGAATCCGTAACGGCCGAATTGTCTCCAGCCCCGTCTGCTGGCAGGGCATCCGAGAAGAACATGGTAACCCCAACTCCTGCACGGACCCGAACCACTGAGGACCTTTTCGCTGCTATTCACAGGTACTTGATGCGTCCTTTTGTTTTTGTCTCATATCACCCGTTTGGGTACAACGTTTATGTTCTTACTCGTCGCAGACTACAACCGCTTATTTAGAAGGAATCTTTCTTAGCAGGGCCCATTCTGTCATTGTGTTTTATCTGTTTATCTCCCCCCCCTCGAATTCCCCTGTTTCTCTGTCAGAATCTAATTGCCCTTTTCTCACCCTCCTCACAAACCCTGTCCCCCTGAGCTCCAAGTTCCTTCCCCCTGTCACCTTTCAGCCCATGATTTCTCTTCCTCCGTCTCTATCCCCCTCCTCCTCCTCTCCCCCCCTGCCTTGCACCCCTCAGCCATAACTTTACCCAGCGCTGTCCCGCGTGGAAGCAAACACATCTATCAAAGAGCAGATCTCTTACTGTTGCCAGCCAGTGAGGGGACAGGCAGCAACAATTCCGAAAGCAGAAAGGAGTCGTAATGATGCCTGTGCCAAGGCGTCTGTGCTGGAGTTGTCGCGCGTTGCTCATTCTCAGCAGGAGAAAGAAGGCTGTTGCTTCATTTATTATTCAAATGCTCAACACCCTCTGGTCCTAATCTAGGTTAGAGACCACTGGAGATATTCTCATCCTGTGTCTCGCTCTTTCTGCTGCGCTCTGCCGTCCTGGCTGCTCTCTGACATGCACGGCACACGTGCTGCCATGTTTCAAACCCAGAACGCATAAATTTCTCATGCAGCCCAACAATTTGCGTTTCATGGTCACGTGCACAAGCAGCCTGAATTCTCTTGAGCATCACAAGATTTCATTTCTGGGGGTCTCTGCCTGGAGCAGGTTTTTTGATGTATTTATGGTACCCACATCATGCGTGCAAGAATGATTTATCGGGCAGTCCAATTGGAAGTGAAGATTGTGGTTTTCCTCCATAGTATCAAAGAGATAAGAGGAATGAGTTTAAAGATTGGGGATGTGATGATGGACTCCCAGCGGTTCTTTTGAGACTACAGCAATCTGTACCTGTAAAGGAGAAAGGAGAAGGAGAAAATGTGATCTTGCTTAAAAAACACAAGGTGAAATTTAATCTGCCTGAAGTGGGACAATGAAATCTTATCTGCCATTAGATGTACATTAAATGTACATTTTAAAAGGCTTTTTTAGGCAAAGGATTATCAAGTTTTAAGCATTAAAATCACAGAGAGGGCATCTAATTTGCTCTTTGTTTTTTTCCTGCATTATCCCTGACTTCTTTCTTTCCCCTGGCTTAACAAACTGATGAAAACCTTGAATGAAAAGCCTTCACGGCTGCAGCAGAAAACACAACTTATCTCGAAGCAGATCCTCCGCAGCAAATGTAATACAGCCGAGAGCACGAAATCGATCAAGTGTCCTGGGCCGCGTCTCACATTGCAGCCGTGTTCGCCTCTGTAACTGAGATTGGTTTTGCTGCCGTTAGTTTAGGTGTTTGTGTGTTCGGCTCAGAATGGAGTCGTCGTGGTTGACTGAATTCAGGTGTGTGACTACACACGTGTGAATGGGTGTGAGAAAAGTCTTATGTAATTCTAATGTGTTGTGGGATTCCACGGGAGAGCGGGGGGATGCTACTTAGGTTGAATCTGGGCCACACACGCGCACACATTTTGCAGTCTTATATCTGAGAGAAAACAATTATGCTCACAGAAATGTCTCCTGCCATCCACTGTTCTTTATCTGCACACTTTTTTTTTCCACTTGCATCTGTCAGTCAAACTTTAGAAGTGTAGATTTCTTCTCCTTCACTTGAGCCTTCACCTTGAACAGCAGCCCCTCCCTGATCATGGAGCTGGATGTGCTTTGCTTGCCGTTAATCATGTTTCTCCTCTCTCGGACGTGCAGAGGGGGTGTGCGGTGGGCGGGTGCAACCTGTCCACAGAGGTGCGAAGTGGCAAGTAGCCCCTTCCATTTAATCACCAGGCCCTGTTTGCACAACCTCAGTGAGCACGTTTACATGACGCTGGAAACAAGCCTGTCCAATCAAAAGTGAACATTGAAGTACATACAACCAAACCAACCGTCTCAAGCCCCGACTTACAGACCCAGACAGAGCAGATTAAATGTTTACACTCAACTAGACTTCATCTAAACTTAGACTTAATTAGTGGACGTAACTTTTTTTTTTTTAAATTGCATATTTAAATTTTTTAATTAAGCTGCTTTATGTACAAATATTCAGTTTCTTTCATCAGAAGATTGAATGTATTCAAAATCACAACTGAACATCAGGTCTTTAAGTATGTGTTTTCTTACCCCGTTTATAGACTCATTTGACAAATTATTACGATCCAGCCATTTTTAAGAGACTAAATCTGTGCAGTGAAAAGTAAAGGCAACCAGCAGCTGACGTTTTTTCATACATTACGTTGACAACTTGACCTCCCTCGGCTGCGTATGCCCTGGAACTAGAGCATGCTCCAGCTAAAAAGGGTCGAGTCGGGGCTCAACACAGCTGTGCGTGTGACCGTGCTGACTGGCGGTACCTTGGGCCTGGCAGCCATACTACTGCCTCGGTACAACTCTTCCATGTCACAGATTAATAAGGCTGGTTCTCTGCTGGCAGTTAACTCTCCATATGTGACAGCTGCCGCTTCATGGTTGTGCTTTCATGCAGGACGTGTGAGAAGTTACAGGAACTTGCCGGAAGTCGACTTGCTTGTGTGATTAAAAGCTTTTGCTCTGGGTCTCAGTTTGTGTTTTATTATTATTTTCTCTAATGCGCCATCAGAGCTTTTGATTCCTAATTGCCAGCCCACGCCAACGCTGCAGATGACAAAACACTCTGGACTTTTGTTTTAAAACTCTATTTGTTTCTCTACTATTTTTCTCTACTTATTTTTCTCAAGCCACACCACCACTCACAACTCCTTACTGCTCATAAATCATTTTAACACTGTTTGAACTGAACGTATCCTGCAGAAGATCTCATAGCTAAGCCGATTGTCCTTTGTTTTTTCCCCCCACAGGTCGAAGCGGAAGGTCTTGGGTCGTAAAGAGTCAGAAGAAGACAAGTCCAAGGTTGAGAGCCATCCGCAGTCTCCCCCTTCGACCCCCACCGGGACGTCTCCCGGGACCGGCTCCCCGCTGCCCCGGCAGCCGGGCTCCATCCAGCGAAACCTCCGCAAGTCCTCCACCAGCAGCGACACCTTCAAGGCCCTCCTCCTCAAAAAGGGAAGCCGCTCCGAAACCAGTTTCAGGATGTCCGCCACCGAGATGCTTCGCTCCACCGACCCGCGCTTTCAGCGCACGCGCTCCGACTCGGCGCCGGACCCCCCCGCGGCGTCCCCCGGCTCCCCGACGGCCCCGCGCAGCCCCTCCACCCCCCCCGGCCGCTTCAGGAGGGACGCGGACGAGTGGGGCCGCTTCGACGCCCCGCCCCTGTCCTCCCCGACCTCGTCGCCCTACTCCACGGGCGGGACGAAGTACGGGCGCTCCCGCACGCCACCCTCCGCCGCCAGCAGCAAGTACAACGCCCGCTGCCGCATCCTCAGCAGCCCCATGACAGTCATCTGCGAGCGGGAGGGGGAGCAGGCTGAGAGCGAGTACGCAGACGCAGGAGAGAGTCTGCCTGGGCCAGTGGTGCAGACTCTGCATCTGCTCAAAGACTCCAACGCCACTTTTTCTGAGGAAAGCAGAGGTTAAAAAGAGCAGGATCCCCCCCCCCCCCAACACCCACCCCCTCATGCATCTTAACTAGCAGGGGACCCAAAGAGGGGCTGGCGGAAGCCCCCCAGACACACCCTCCAGAGCCCAGCCTCCTGGCTGCTGCCTCTGTGGGAGGGCACATGTCAGGTCCGGATGTAGGTTGAGTTTTGGTCTCGTTTTGGACCAACCGGAAAGCAGCCCGATGTGGGAAGCTGGTCCCGCTCCAGTTTTCGAGACTGCTACGATTGCATTCTTCTACCTTTGGCAATTCCCCTTACTTTGTTCAAAAGAATAGTGATTCTTTATCAGTTTGTGTTTTAGTTTGTTATGCTTACTTTATTTTTTTTTTAAACTCATCCGTTTAGTTTCTTTGAAGAACAGAGTTATGATGGCAAATTAAAGTGAACTGAAGGAATTGCAAAGTCACAAACTCTCGGCTTCTCTGCTGTGGTGACGTGGAGTTGGAAAGAGTGGAATGTACGAGTGCTTTTTCACTCACCGGATGAAATTCCAGTTTGTGCATTTCGCCTGTTGGGCTCTGGAAAGTGTTTTTGAGAGCACTGCGGTTTACAAGCATCATGATGAAGTGGAAGGATTTCTCGTGGACACGGTACCACCAGGGGACAGCCCCGCGGTACAGCTTCAGCCAGGTCACCGGCAGGTTTACAGGTTTCTGCTTTCTGCTCGTGCTGCAGTGGCTTCTGCTCCGCGGTCTGTGGGGAGCGCAGAGGCCCAGTGCTGCCACCTAGTAACCAGGAGCACACCAGGGCTCAACCAAACAGCAACGCTACTCTATAACAAGGATCACAAAGTCTGGTTTTATGTTTAGTTTGTAGATTTTGCACTGCGCATAGGTCTTTTTCTGTTGGTGTTTGTGACTTAAAAAGTATGTGTTAAAGATTGTTTTAATTAATGGGTTCTGTCATGAGTTGTGTTATAAACCTATAAATGTAAAGCCAGAAAAGTCTATTTTATTGTCTAGGTCTTTCAGTTTTCATGTGGGTAACCAAAGAGTTTAAAAAGAATTAAACAGAACTGGATGTTAATCTGAAAGCAATCTGAGTGTGTGACTGATTGACTGATACCTGCGGCCTATGGGCTGCCAGATGCTTTTGCCGAGGAGATCAAACAGATATTTTCAGGGCTTAAATGATTTCTGTAATCCTGTTGATACTCTTTCTGTAAATGCGTTTTAGTTATAAGGAACATTTGGCTTCTTTTCAAGGACTGTGCATTTTTACACCCCCTGGTTTCTTTTTATAAACTATTTATTTTCGCATAGCCTCCATCAGTTTGGTCAACCAGAGAGTGGGTGGAGGATAACGTATGGGGAGTTTAAGCAGAGAACTCAAAAGGTCACATTTACCAGTTTCCCTCCTCCAGACCAATATTCTTTCAAAGGTGCTTAAAAGACACAATTATTTCCATATTTGTACTTGAGCTGCATACTGCTGTGGATCTTCAGTCGTGCGTGTCCCACTCTGGCGCTGACAGCTGAGTAAATGTGGTGTCTTTGGAGTCATAAACCAGGATGACCGGCAGATGGTTTAATTACCTGTCATTAAAGCGTTGTCTCTGCTGGCCGGGTCTGAGCGCAGGCTCGTGTCGTGACAGGAAACATCTCAATTTGTTTGTTTCATGGAGGGCTAGAGGGAGAACAGAGCGTGGAGCAGAGGACAGGCTGCATATGAGCCTATGTAATAAAAATGAGGTGATATTTAAGGAGCGTGTCTCTATTATTCCTCCCCGTGTGTGATTCACAGCCATCTGCCCGCCTGACACCCCAAATCATAGCCTCATTTTCACAGTCGCCATGGCACCCACATTTATCTGTCATCTGGACAGCTCCAGAGGCCCACTTTAACCCCTCCCCCCCCCCCCCCCCCCCCCCCCCCTTTTGGGTCATCATTTACGTCTCCTTCTGGTCATCCCATTAGTACTTGGACTGAGTTACAGCCTCTGCCCCCAATCTCCCCTCTAAAGCAGCGTCTAAATACTCCCCACAGCTCAGCAGCAACCTTTTAAAAAGTACCGTCCAAGCGTTTCTCGGAGCAGCAGGAATGCAGACCACCACTTAGCGTTTTCACCCCTGACTCAGCAGTCACCTGTCCTCTGACGCCACATGAAGCCCAGTCTCCATCTGGCTGTCAGTTGGGAGCCGGACATTAGCTCCTCCCAGCTCTAATCACACTATTGACACTCCACTGCTCCCCTGTCCTCCTGAACTCGGCCGTGTCCAGGGAGTCCCCCTACACAAATGCAAAAGGAACTTTATGGAGCCATTGTGGTCAGAAGTGGGAGCACCTGTGAGAGTTTGGCCAACAGGTGCTGCCGCTGCCTTAAAGAAGTGTAAAAAGACGAGTTCAGTCAGGCCAAAATGTACTTTAAATTCTACTAAAATTCTACTAAATGGTGCAATCCTTTCTTTATCGTGTCTATCGTGACCTATCGAGTGCAACTTCACAGGAAACTGTAGAACGGCGTGCAGGTGTTAACGCTTTCCGTTTAAATAGAGCGTTTCTAAAATGTCTCACCTCAAAACTATGATAAGATCAAGAACCAAGTGCAAACCCTTATCTTTGGTGAGAGCTTCATCCGGATGGTCAAATGCTTTGGAAATTTCCATCGCCTCAAAAATCACGAAGGGAAGACTTATGTTTGCTAACTCACTTTGGAAAATTATCCATAAAATATGGTTTCAAAAACCCATTGTGCCTGAAGTCTCATGTAGAAAAAAACACACATCTGACATGCAAATTGACATTACATGATTAAGCAGCTCTTACATCACCAGAAAACGATTTAAACACATGAATTTTCACAGCCCTTCACCCAGGCTGCATGGAGGTACGGAAAATAAAGGCCCGGGGTGTTTAGATTGCTCCACCTCGTTACAAATTAGCTGTTTGCAGCAATGTTTTCACCTCACTGAGAAAATCCAACTGACTAATGAAGGGTGGAGGCGGGGCGTGTGTGGTGCAAAGGGCGGGGAAAAAAACAAAGATGTCATTTCTGCTGAGTGTCTGAACATGATATTGGGAACAAACCTGCCACAAATAAAATGAATGACTCGGCAGAAAGCGAGGGGGGTGGGGTGGGGGGGGGGGGGGGTGTAATCCGGACAATTTGAGGTCACATTTGTCCTGAGTGCTGAGGATGAGCTGAACTTTTTCCCATCATAGATCAGATGATCCAAAATAAACCAGGAGACGGACACAACACAATCCCTGAGCAGATGTTATAATCACGTCATTCTTATTGATTAGATACATTTTACATTTCATAACAACATTCAGAGGGGTTCACAGCCTCTGTTATTGCATATGTGCAGTGCTGATGTTTCTCTTTAAGTGCATCATTCCAACACTCCACTATTAAAACATTTCAATTTAAAAAAAGATACATCTTACTGCTCGTTATTTTCCTCTCACAGCCACCAGGCACCCACACTCATTTCCTCATCAACTGTCAGAGACAGAAATGATGGAAGATGGGTTTCCAGATATGGGTCTGGTCCAGATAAATCAGGTAAAGAGGACAAAGAGAACAGCTGTAAACCTTCAGCGTTCTGGTCAAACTGCCCTCCTCTATCGGCTCCTTTAGGAGATGAGGACACATTCCCGGTCTGGAGACGCGCCTCTTCCAGCCGTCTACCACACATCACATCTATGTTTCATTAAAGCTATCATTAGTTCATTAGTGTGTAAAATTTCTTTGTGTTTTCCTGGACTGTGTGTCCTTGCTGAGTTGTCGTAACAACGCAAAAAACTTACAGAATTCTTCTGATAATGGTGAGTCTGAATCCTTTCTTTTCTGTATAAAGATTTAATTGTTAACAGTAATTTATCATAGCAAGGATATTCCTTTCTAAATGCACAAAAGTCTAAGATTAGTGTAATTTAATCATTATAAAAGGCACTTTGGGATTTTTCTGTTAAGACACACAGGGTGAAAGGAGTGTGTTGGCGCCACCTGCTGGACGTTGTGCTTCAATGTGACCACTTCCCTCTCAGGGCTGGTCTGTTAAATAATAGCCAGTTGGACCTGTTGGAATCATGTGCCTGGTCTTGTTGCCAAGACAAATAAAACACTCAGCCTCCTTTTGACATGGATAAGAGTCTGACTTCAGAAAACGATCACATTCAAACAATTACTGCTACACGTTGGGATTAGTTCAGCTGCAGCTTGTCGGGCAGGTTGGGACCTTTGTTTCTCTACTGCTCAAACGCTTTCTTGAGGATCCAGACTTCATTCCTGCGATTGGTCAGTTTGAAGGGGCTGTCGTAGCCGGCTGTGTAATACGGGTGGTCGACATATTCCACGCCGTCTCTCTTCAGGCTGTCCAGAAGTTTCTGGAGCTCCTCGCGCTTCGTGTTTTCATTTGCAAAACCACCGTACGTCCTGAGGAAAAGGATGAGAGAAGGAGAGGGAAGAAAAATATGCACCCGGGCCACGACTGGAGCATAACGCGAAAACAATACCGGCTCGATTGGGTTGGATCCTACCTCACATAGGCCGTGAACTCCTTCCTGTCCTCCAAAAACACCTCCGGGTCGCTGGGCGGGGGTGGGCTGGCCTGGTGCTCGTCGGGGATGTAAAAAGATGTGATGAACTGAGACTGGCAGGCCGGGCCGGCCCCTGGGACCACGCGGAACGTCACCGGTGCCGTCATCTCCACTTTGACCTCTAAAGAACCGGAAACAAACGCACACTTGTGAAAAAACAGGCGCTCTCAGCACGCCGTTTCCAAAGAGACCGGTTACGTGACCAACAACTTCTGTAACATGTTCAGATATTCGATTTTTCTAAACAAAAGGTCAGATGCCAGCTGGAGGATTAAAGCTGAGGTCCATAATGATACCTGAACAGATGGTGGGAACATCAGCCACAAGGAGAAAACACTCTGCTCATAACCCACTCTGCTTCCACTGCAGACCTCTTTGGTCACCAACACAGACAATATATAAATATATTCTCATCAATGATGCTGGAACTGCTGAGTCAGACAAAGGCAGCACTGCTGCTGCAAAACTGCTGAGCACGAACTAAAGCACAATCTCTCCTGCATTTATTCAACAACTCCAGTGTCTCAAACTGAAATTATTCTGCAGCTTTGCTTCACATAATTAGGTGTTCTTTCGTTTGAGTTTTTCCACTTAAAACAGGCTCAGCGCAAACTGACAAAAAGTGGGAGTGAGGTGTAAAGTGTGCGGTTTGTCGTAAACATGACAGGATTTGAAATTTGGAGGAAGCTCACTGTTTTGATTGTTGCCTTGAATGTAGTTGAAAAGCCTGCGGAAGCCCGTCTTTCCCGCGTCTTCCGACTGCATCCCGCTCACAGAGGTGCTCACCCACTTAGCAGCTTGGTAGGTGCGGATCTCATAGTCTTGTCCTTCCTAAACACAGACACACTCGCTGAGCACTTTTCCCCCCCAACATTACTGACAAACACTCAAAAAGGAATAAGAAAAATGTACATTATTTCATAGCACAGACACAGGTGAAGGTCGAAGAAATCTGTAATGGATTTGAAAGTGCATACACCAACTCTCATTCATCTACAATACTTTTCATTTTGACCAATGAATATAAACTGAATTAAATAAAAAAATGTTTTTTTCTAAAGTAATATCATTTCAATACCCCGATCCTAATAGTGACCATAAGTAACGCAGATGGTGTGTTGCCATTCAGACTGTGCGGCACCTGTTGAATTTACAACGACACAAAGCATATAAATGCATTGTTGTGCAGTAATTGTGTTGCATTGCACAGTTCATTGTGTGTTGATCTGGTTTTTGTTTATCACATATGGCAGACGCTCACCAGCTCCAGCTTTTCAGATAAAGATTCCAACTGTAGGCTGTGAAATCTAACCCTACACTTTACACGTTTGTCCGCATGACACACAAACAGCAGTTCCATGCTGACCAAAGGTCTGAAGACCACCCCCCCCCCCCCATTTTTATTTGACATGTTACCTGGGAAGAACTTACCTTTTTCTCCTCTGCTGTGAATTTAGGATTCTGCAGTCCAGTTGAGAACAGAGCTTGTCCCACAGCTTTCAGCATGACCGACGAGCAGCTGGTCAGATTCGAGTCGAAAATATCCTCAAAACCTCTGTGTCTGTGCTTTTTGTCGGATTTTTCCTAACGCTGCAAAGAATCGAATTCAGTCAGATGGAGAATGGCAGCCCGCACAGATAACGCTTTTCAAAACTCTGGAAGTCCCTTATTTCCCCTTATTTAGCTTTATCTGATAGAGTAATCATTTAAATAATTACGCAGGAGAATAAAAGCAGACACTATTACCTCTGGGTGCGCGTTCGCTCCTCTGTGACAGGGTGTGTCGCGAGTTTGCAGGTTTTCGTAACATCGCTTCCGGTTCCACAATGTCTGAAATCTGATTGGTTGATGACGCAGCGAACGCTTGTCAACAGCATCATGTGACGCGTGGGAGCGATGGCCCGCGTGGTGGCCTTTGTTTGAACTATTCAAACAAACAGTGGTTATTACAATAAAAGTCAAATTAAAAAAGAGCCAATTATAATGGAGAATGTTGTCCGGTTAAATGTTGACCTGCTAAATAAACCCAGCAGAAAATGCTCAAACAAATCAAAAAGTAGCAACAGTTGGCTGAAGTCAGACAGGAATTTATCTGAAAAGTTAAAGAAGAATCACAAAAAGACTTGAAGCAGAAACATCTTTTTCTGTCTTGCTATCTTCAGTTTGAAATGTCATTTGAAGTTTCTAGTAAAATTATTTTTAATAGTTTATTTTATAAAAATATTATGATTGATCTGCACTTTTTCTTCAATGCCATTAAAATTGATCTGTCATTGCCTTGTCGTTGGTGTGAGGTTTAGACAGTAGTAGGGTTCTTTTTTGTGTGTTTCTATGTAGTGAATCCTTTAAATCAGTATATCTCCAGCCTTGTCCTTGTATGTTTTTTTTTATCACAGCAATGTAACTGACAGACGTAACACACAGGAGCACACTGCATCTTATCCTTACTCCAAACTGACCAGATAAAAACTAACTCTTCATATGTTCTTTGTGTAATCTACATTAGATAATAAAGCTACAACATGTTATGTGCATTTGACTTGGCTTATATGGAAGACATCATAGAGATTATTCAGATCATACTTTAATGAATAAGATGAAAACACAATGTTGGATCTCCCCTTTAGGTCTGTTGTTATTTACACCAAAAGTTTGAAAGACAGGAGGGATACTGACACTTGGTCAGCTTTAAAAACAACTTTCAGGACTCGAGAGGCACAAATACAGAAAAAAGAAGGCAATGGTATGCAAACAAACAGGAAATCTTTTTCCAATTTGAAGTAGAAGAGGAAAAAGCTGCTACATCTGGGATGTCAAATCTTAATGATGTTTAGGAAAAGCAGTTTCTGAACATGATTGTTGCAGTTTTGGGGTTCCAGCTACATATCTGCCTGTTGTCTCATCGTGGGTGTGGATCCATGCTCAGCGGCTATCTTAACCCCATCTGCCATGGCTACTGTGACTGATGCAAAACACACGAGCCTACATAAGTCAAATACAGGTGAAAAATACCGGATATACCAGGACACAAAGGCATAGCATAAACAGCAGCAGCAGCAGCAGCACTCTTTTGTTTCCATTTGTATGCATGTATATGTCTATGTATGGCCAGTCCTATTCATTAGGTTCCAGAGCAAAGTGCAGTGGAAAAAGGCAAGGAGGACAGCCGGTTTGTCCACATGTCATCATGACTTATGACAGTAAACAGGTTTCCATATTTTCAACTACAATGCTCCAGTTCCAACTTGCTGATGATTTATCTGAGCCCATGTGAACTGCACATAAAGGACTTTTTTATGCTAGTAGTCTTTTTAGCTGTTCATTAACGTTTAACCGGACAATAAAAAGTGTTTATGAAAAGAAAGTAGGGGCAGTAAAGTCTTCATCATTCTCTTTTCATTGTCTTTTATCCTGTGCACAGGTTGTAGCTGAGGAAGCCAGGTGATTGGGTCACTTATTCAGAGCTGGTAATTTCGGTGGATGAAGGACAGGAATTCGTCTTTGGACAGCTTCTCAGGGTCCACCCGAGTCTGGGAATCGTGAACTATGACCCCGTCCACCCAGGCCCAGAACAGGCGCTCAGAGTGGCACACGCTAAAGAAGACAGTGGGAAAAAACAACAAATAATTCATGGCTGGGCTTTAAACAACCTTCCCATTACAATCTTAAGTTCAGTAACAGAACCGTTGTAACACAGTAATAGCACTCAGTCCTGGAACAGAAAGGCGGAAACATACTGGAAGGGAGCAGCAGAGTTTGGTGGCATTGCATATGTTGATTCCTTTGTTATTTTGTTAAAGAAGAACTTCATTTTGGAGCTTTTGCTGTACGCCATTGTCCACGGCTCTGCAGGGTAGAAAGAAAAGAGGCTATCTAACTCACTTTGCCCTTTTCTTCTAGTGTAAGACATCAAAAAGTACCAGCAGCTCAAAGGAGCAGTGAAGGTTAGAGGGCAGAAAAGACGAACCGTTGACCGTCTTAATGATGTAGAGGCCCGTGGGGAGGAAGTGTCGGTCATCTCTTCCAGTGTAAGACAACCGAGGAACACCTCCTGAACTCTTCGTAATCTTCATCTCTAGTCTGGACATTGGATGAATTAAGATCCTTCAATTTATTATTTCCTTTGGAGAGACAAACTAACCTTTATCTTGAAAAATGGCAAACTTAGAGTCCCAATAACAACAGGAGCCGCTTTCTCATTGATAATAGTACACCGTATCTAATGTCTCGTCGTACCTGACAAAGATTTTCTCCATTTCCTCCAGTCTGTAAACTTCCTTTACTCTGTGTGGAAAAGACACAGATGAATTCAAATGTGTTGTTCTATAATCTCAAGGGAATATTTACCCACTGCTGCCTGTTGACGGATGCAGCTGTTTTTACACACTGTCCATAGGAAATTATGTCTGCTCATCAGAAAAGCATTCCAATTGGACAGATTAACGCCTGGTTAGTACCTGATTGGGTTCATATCCGGTCTGCTGGGTTTAGCTACGGCTTTCACAAACTTCTCAGCCATCTGGATCCTGGAAATATAAAATTATTGTAAACAAAAACAAGAAAAGGATAAAGCATTGTCACTGCTTTCTGCACAGTTTTAAACACAGGCACACATTTTCATCCATGTGTTTCACACAGCTGTGTTCGGGGAATCAGAGGCCGGCGCCGGACGGCTGCATCCTACCTCTGGTTGAAGTGCTGATCTCTTACATCGGTGCCATTTAGAATGAGTGCGTCGACCACGTGGACTGCGTTAATTCTTCGTTGAGCCTTGCCCTGAGGACCGAGCACATGAATTCAGCCGTGTCTCCGGCCAAATGCAGCTCCTGCTTTTTACTCAAACTGCGGCTCTTCCTTGCATGCTCTTCTCTCACCTCGCCCTTCAGCTCTTGGACAATCTCCACACTTAGAAGGGTGTCTCTGGGCAGCTCGAGCTTGAAACCCTCCATTTTCTTCCAGCGCACAGGCATCTTCCCGTCCCATGTGTAGATCTGCGACTTCTGCCAAATGTAACAGAAAAGCTGCTGGTAAGAGGATGAAAGCATCTTACGCACAATATCAATAGTTTCCATACTGAAGTCCATGAGGCAGCTCTAACCATCCTCATGCTGTGGGTTACTTGCGTTCGGCAACACTAGTGGTCGGAGGAAACCACCACATCCACTTTTCCTACTAATACGGTTATTTTCTGCTCAGGTGGTCTAAAGACCAGCTCACCCCCAACGTGAGAAGGAAGACCTGCTCGCCGCCTCCCACAATGCACCTGTGGTCAAAAATGTGGCGCAGCTTTTCAAGTGTGGTGGAGTTCAGTGGCGTCAGCTTACTCTGGAATGACTCCTTGTCCGAATTCTGAGGCACAGGAGGAAAAGCAGCATTTAGGGACTAAAAATATTGTTCTTATCATCACTAAACAGTAAACAGAATTATGTATCTAAAGAATTCAGTAGTTTTCAAATACTAATGTAAAAGATGCATTATGGAAAAAAAATTTTTTGGCTTGAACTGAAACGATTTAAAAGGGAACCTGTATAAATATATTCAGGGTCCATCTTCTCACATTTCAGTGTGTTTTTACTTTTTTTTCTGACCTTGATTAGTTCATAGAATTTTGACTTTGGGTCTGAGGGAGAGGGAGCTACTCTGGCTTTGTCTGGGACCTGGAAACAGACAGAGGCGGACAGTGTAGAAACTTCCACGTTAGTTTACAGACCTTGATTCTGTTTTGAGTTAACCGACTCACCCCCCAAAGCTTCAGGCACTCCTTCCTGATATCCGCTTGCCTTGTCTCTGACAGCGCCCTGATGACATCAGCACAGTGTCACACATTCAGTTTCAGACTCAATCCCTTTATTAGAAGGACACAGACAAAGCTGTGCTTACTTACGGGTCAACAACAAAAGCGTGGATCTTAGCCAAGGCCTTAATCTGGACTGCACAGAGGCTGCAGAGACAACAGCAGTTAGTTTTTGTGTCATTGTTTCAAGAAGCCTTTGTCAAAACTGTTTTGTACCTCTCATTAGAGTTGACCATAAACTGATAGAAGTCAGGATCCTCCTTAATGATGCTCAGCGGAACCACGTCTGTGACGTCTTTGTCTGTGCCTCTGAGCTGGTTCAGCTTCAGGTTGACTTTGAACATGTACTCTCTGACTGCGTCAGAGCCCGGCTTCAGACCACGGCACACAATGTACCTGTAGGTCACAACACGATAGAGAGAGACCTGATTCACTCCTCCAAACTCATCCAGAACATTCAGTCGTGTTACATGTTAATCCTACACAGGGACAGACAAAGCGAAATCTAGGAAGCAGAATTTTCCAGATTGTAAAACTCTTTGCTTTTTCTGCAGATCATATTGTACCACTATAATCAAGCTGCAAAGGAAGAAAAATCATGAACTATATAATGCTATAAGACCTGTTTTTACACGCCGTAAACATCCATTAAAATACAAATCCTACTTTCTCAGCCCAGAGCAGGTATGGTAAAACTAACCACATACACAGACACATGAGTGCTGCACACCTCTCAGAGTTAGCCGGCCTGCTGGTGACAGGCTTGAAGAGTGAGATCCTGTCGAAGGAGAGGTAGAGGAGGTACACCAAACCGACACTGAAGGGAGTGAAAAGATCAAATGTCTTGCAGACAAAGTGGCCCCCTGAAGAGGATAAAGAGAGACTGAGTTAACACAGACATGCACAGATACACAGGGGTGCTGGCTGTCCATGTGACCCACTCCTACATCCACAGACCTGTCCTGAGCGTGGAGATGGCAGTCAGGAACTGGCAGAGCAGCAGTTGTTTGGACAGGATCTCTTGGATGTTCTCTTGGCCTTCTACAGAAAAACCCTACCACACCAAGACATCCCCATTAATCGCCCCGCATAGAGAGCGCTTCCATCTAATGAGTTCTGGATGCTTTGAGGTAAAAAAAATCTCTTTAAAACACTCTGCTGGGGAGGCCTTACCCCATCTGCCATGAGACAATGCAGCCCTCTTCTCTCTGTATTCTCCATGACAAAGTTACGGAAGGCGGTCATGTTTTCTGGCCGAGTTATGTCCCCGTCCCCGTCCACTCCGCCCTCACCTGAGACACACAGACGTCACTCTGACTGAATCACGCTTCGCCCGTCTCTCCTCGCCCCCGGGTGCGAGGGGCAGGCATCTCCCAAACACACCGTAATAAGGCTCGAACAGCTCGCTCGGGGCAGCATAGAAATCTTCCAGTTTGAAGTCGCAGGGTCCTTTCAGCGTCATGCCAAAGCCTTTGGCGTGCCAGCGTCTTCTCCACAGGATGTACTCAGAAAAGCCTCCGGGCCCCGCGCAGACGTCCCCAAAGTACAGAAGCTCACCCTCCCGGTCCTTTGTCAGGGGTTTCTGCAGAATGAGAGGTTTCATCCCATCATCTCCTGTGACCCAGCAAACGTCGGGTACCGCTCTCACCGGCAGGCCCACTCACCCCTTCGGAATCCTTTGGGTTCGTGAACATGTAGTCGAAGCAGTGGTCCATGTTGGCCATTTTCATAGCGGCTCTAAACACAAAAGACAAGAGGAGATTTCAAGAAACAGGAATCAGAGGAGAGAAGGATTTCAATGTGTCCAATTTTTTTTTTTTGCATTCAAAGAAATCTAAATTAAGACTGAAAGCACAGCATTACATCAGCATGTTAGTCAAAGTGACTGCTGGTGCTGTCTGTAGTTTACAGCATTAAAACCTACCTGTTGAGAAAAATACCGCCTCTAATCGTCTCGTAAGGGTTGGAGCGTGTCCGTGCTCTCCTCATCTCCTCGCCTTCCAAGTTATCAAACACCGTCTAAGCATAAAAAAACAGCTATAAGGCAACTCAGCAATAACAAAAAACCTGATTCTGGCACGCTTTAAAAAGCTGTAAACGTAAATAAGATGTCATGATAAGGAAAATATTTTCTACAGTTCAGTTTAAATGAGTGAAGAGACAAAGACTACCCCTGAGAGTCACCTTCAAACTATCATCATTATTTTTTAATTCATCTGAACAGTTATTGCCATAAGGTAAATCATTAAGTTGAAGCAAAATGAAAATATTTGGGGTTATGACTGACCTTGCACCGTAGGAGAGTGTGCAGAAGATCTTCTGTGCAAAACTCTGTTTCGTCTTCAATCTTAAGTTTTCTCTGTAAAGCATTCAAATGCAGACGGTTAAACACACATGAAGACAACACAAATGTATGGCACTGCCTACGTGTACAGGCTGCGTTATTTACCGGCCCCAGAATCATCCAGTCTCTCAACTCATCTGCATCTGGGATCTCTGTGGTGCATTCTGGGAACCAGGTGACTATCTCTGCAGCACTGGGCTGTATATACAGCCGGACATGGACACAGATGAGACAAAAAAAGAATATATTTTAAACCCTAATGTCATATTGAGACAATTATTAGGTCTAGCTGGTAGTTATTCAGATTTGCTGACCTCAGGTTCATCCCGCCAGTCAACATTGAGTTCTCCCTGGAACCCCTGCAAGGTGAGGCCAAGACCCCTCCTACCCCGCTGGGTGGAAGCCTCCACAATCTCTTTGCGTCCCTGGCCAAACTTACCCAGACCTTCTCCCTCTCTAAAGCCCATCTTGGCCTGGAGGGTTAAAAAGAAAACAAAGGAGTTTAAGTAATAAAGAAGAAGATTCAGTTTTTTCCCCTTTCTGTAAAGGAATCACATGACACAGACAAATACAGGTACAAGGTACGAAGTACAATCTTCTGCACAGTTCATTGTGAAAGCTCCCAGCCTGGAGAGGTCTGGATAACATTACCATGAGCTTCTGCGACACACTGTTGTACATGGAGAACTTTGAGGCAGACTGAGCAGAGCCATCAGCGTCTGCATCAAAGGATGATGATGATATGGAGGGCATGGAGAACCCCGGTCTCTGATCCTCCTGATCGCTGAGGGACTCATTTTGGATAGAATCTGCAAAGGACCAAAAGGAGATATAAAATTGTACCCACTAAGATGTTCAAGTAAAATCAAGAGGAACCCCGTTAATCTACCTTGTCTGGATTGCGACTCTTCCCCTGAACTGCTGTCATCTCGATGCCTTTTTGACCCCTGCGGTGGCGCCAACACTCCATCATTTCTTCTCTTCATTATGACTTAAAAAAAAAGAAAACTGTAAGAAGAAGAGCAAAACTGGCAGACCCCTAATGACTCTTAGTTTGAAAAAAAAAAAAACGTAAGTTTAAACCAACATCAAAAGTTAGTCAGTTCTGAGCTGGGCCAGGCCTCAGCTCTGGGACAACATCTGCTCATATAAATCAATTCATATTTTACTGAGAAATGGCTGGTACAGGGTTAAACTTTACTCTTATGTGAAACATACACATAAAACATGATACTAATAAACAAATCAAAATCCACTCAAAACAGAGTGGGTATATCTACTGTTTCAAGCCCAAAACCGAAAATGTTTCATAATAATCTGTTACATTAACCGTTTACCATTTCATCCCATTTCAAGCAATACAGCACTAGATAAAAATCTACTGGCAAACGACGCAGTGGCTTATTTTATATAACGTCCAATTTAGCTTGTTTTGTGTAACTAAACTGCACCTCAAGTGTATAAAGTGTAACAATGTTACATAAGTGATAACTCGCGGGCGGAATACACCTTTACAATAGAAAATACTTTGGATTTTGAACAATTACCTATTCGTTATGTTGTAAATATCTTGAGGACAGGCCCATTTCAGTCTTTGGGGTGCATTTCTGCAGTAAAGCCCAACAACAGTAACCAGACTCCAACGGTTTGTGGTGTCGGTGTTTTCTGCGGAAAACGAAACTACGCAGCTAGCTGCACTAGTTAGCGTGCTACGATAGCCGGCAAGTTTTTAACCAGCTCAGATAAAATATTTGCCTGATGTAAGACGAAACAACATCGACAGAACGTTACTTCAACGTGTTTAAAAAATCCGATAACAGTTTTATTGGTAGGACAATTTGTGGTACATAAACTGCTCCTGGAGTTAACGTTAGCCCGCGTTCTGTTTTTAGACCGAAGGCCGGTCCTTCTTTATCTGACGACGCACAGTGATGATGTAAATGGTGCCAGGACTGTCCAGAAGAATGCCATTTGAAGTGGTTTATCCTATTGAAATATAATTACATGCAAGTTCTTCCTCGTGTTTTATTTAATTATAACTATTCAAACACAACGCGTGAATGCTGTTATTGTATGAATATTGATGCGAAATTAAATGCATTTTAGGATACATTAGTGTGCTCTCAGGATGCAAATAGGATGTACAAAAGACAGGTCCATACATTTTTTATAGTCTTTAGTGTGCCACATTTTTCATGAGCTGTCTATTTAAAACAGAGAAAAGAGCACATTACTCCTGTTTTAGCATGTCATTTTTTTTTTTAGACCATTACATTGTTAAACTCTTTTAGTTTGCACCAAATGTTCAACCTTTCAGCAAACAAGCAAATTACTTTGTACATTCTTATTTTGGAGATACTTGTGTGTACAAGAGATACAACAACATGTGGAGTTGGGTTTGCATTATCTTGTCAACATACTTCTCTAGAAGTTTTTTTATTATTCTTTGTAAGGTCTGTCAAAGACGAGATGGCACTACCTAATGATGATCACCTTTAATTATTCTAATTGTTAAAACTACTTAAGAGAGGCCCGCCAGATGCCACGCAGCGCTGCTTTGTCATGTCTTGATGGGCTTAGGTATTAGTGGCCAGTGGAACATTTCTCATGTACAATTGTTCACTGCACTTCCAGTGACTCTGCTAATCCATCACTGACACAAATGCTCACAAAGACACTCACAAATGTACCATGTGACCAGCTTATGCAAGGAAGCCAAGGCTTTATATACAGCCAATAGAGACTAGACTCCCATAGGAAGATCATACAGTACAGGTGTATGTACCTGAGTGTGGGAAGTGTGTGTGTGGGCAGGGGGGGAGAGCTGCTGCTGCTTCATTTATTCAGGTGGTGAAGACAGAGGCTAAAGAAGGAGAAGGGGAAAAGCTGCCAAGCAGGAAGTCCTGAGGGTCGATTGCCGAGGGGTTTTGTGATCTCAGCTGCGAGCCACCAGAGTGAACAACAATGTTTTTCCGCATCCCTCGACTGACCCCTGGATATATCAGATACCTCCAGGTGGGTAAAATGCTTTTGGGTACCATTTTTCATTTAAATAGATTAGTGATTAGTCTTTGACATCACAGGAGATGCACAATGGTACAGTAGTGGATGAAATTTTAAAATAACCTCTAATAACCTCTGAGCTGTAGAATCCAGATCTAGCATATGTCTTTGTGCTGCACTTAAAAATAAGAAATGTTGCTTTATAAAACTCTTGTATTTACATTTAGAGCATGGGCATTTTATTTGCTGTAATGTTTCTGTCTATGAAAAAGAAAAGGTTAACTGGACCTAAATTATCAAGGTAAATAAGGACATACACTTAAATTCAAATAACTTTGCAAAAAAGGAATTATACATTTGAATAAACTGCATTATTGTTTTGGTACTGAATATCACGCACCTGTGGATAAGTAATGGCAGGATTTAGGTTTAATGAGGCCTCCAGACTGTCTTTAAATGGATTTGAAATTACGCAGTCTTAGCTCCCCAGGTCAGGTAAATACACACTAATTGGATCTCCACGACAACAGTACAAAATCCACGTATGCACTCACCCCGATGGGTTTTTCAGGCACCTGTGGCTGGAATTAGAAATGTAATATATGGTTTGTAAGTAGGAGACCTCAGCTCATTATCTGTGCCTCTAAGTCATGTTCAAGTTCCAAACAGGATTCCATAATGCTCTCTTGGGTCAATTGTACATATAAAGCCACATAAAACTGTGACGCTAAAGTAATGCTTTCGATGCTTTGATTTGAAAATTTTTACTTTCCTGAATTTCATTCATGGAAATCTCATTCTATAATTCATCTGAATTCCTAGAATAGAAAAAGAAAAAATGGTGGACATTTTATACTTTCAATTGAAAAATAACAAATCCACAGGGTGAGCTAGAAGATTACTGATTTGATGTCTGACTTTAGGGCATTTAGTGGCTCATAAATCATGGAAGACTTGAAACCAACTAAGGACTGAAACAAACCCAAAAGCAGTACGGGTTAGTTGAGTATGAATTCTGGCTCGTTTGTGCCCTGGTGGTAGGACGATTGCTGGGATGAAAAAGGTTTGTGACCAAGGTCACCTGTTTTCTACAGCTTCCAGGGCCAGAAGAGACACTGTTAGCCAAATGCCTTGGTCACCATCCACCCGAGCCATGACGGTAGCCAGTGATAATTGTCCTGGATCCCTTGGTGGTGACCCTTGCTCTCTTTTTCAGACTCAGGCAGCCCAGACGGTGATGCAGAGCCGCGAGGGCCCTGCCATGCCACGAATTGCCATCCTGCTGGGTTTCATGGGCATCGGCATGTCTGGCTATAGCTCTCGCCAACTCGCCCTGCACCACAAACCATCAAGCCACCTCTTCAGATAAGATGGATGGAAAAAACATGCAGTTTTATCCCTAGAATTTTGTAAATATGCTCATTCTGATAGCGGCGCCTTGGCCCTTTGTAGGTGCTAGGTTACTAGAGAAGATTCTAGTTTGTTTTAGTTGCCATTAAGACGCCATCAAAACTAACGAGGTTTAGAGGTGCTGTCAGGAGAATATTGCTACCTTTTGGAAGCTTTTTCTCTGGTTAAAGTCTTTTTGAACAGTCCAGCTTTATTCAACCAAACAGATAAATCAGAAATGTTCAGTTTCTAAGTTTTCACTTAAAAGTAAATAAAGGTATTCCCCCAAAAAACAAATCAAGCATTACACATGTAAAAAAAAACTGCAATTATGGAAAAGATTCTAACCCATTCTGTTGTTTACTCTCTGTTTGCTGTACCATGACTCCTCCCCTCAATGTGGTTTTGGTCCGACATCAACCAAGTTCTGATGTAATATTTTCGTTGTGTTTAAGATGACAAAATTTACTGATTGCCTTAAAGGTCTGTTTTTAAAAATCCTTTCTTAAACTACCTCTTCAAATAAGCACAGTGCAGTATTATTCTTGAATATGACTGACTAAAAAGGGCAGCTAATGTTTTATTTCCGTTGAACTTGGTTGATGTTGCACTTGGATGACAGTCCCTGCCCCTCCCTTTCCCGTGCCTTATCATGGCAGTATTCAGTCAAAACTGATTCACAGGCAGAATTGCTAATGTGTTTTAAAGTTGAATGCATCTGTAATTTTAGGAGATACTAAACACAGCTGAGCCAGTCTCGAGGAATCTCCTCCAAAATCCTTCTTCTTTTGATAATCCCCGCTTTCAATCAGGCATTTTTGCAATTTCTATTATGTAATGCAGGAATCTAAATTTCCTTCCCCACATTAGAGAAAAGCTGCCAATGTTATTTAACAGAGTGATTATACTTCGTGCTGATCTAAAATGACAGAAATGCTGCAATAGAGACGACAACAGAATTAACTGAAACTCAAGGAGTTTGCATGGCTTCTTGAAACCTTTTAGTACTGTGGCAAAAGCTCAACAGCAAGTGAAATCTGTTGCTCTAAAATCTCATAAAAGAAATAAAAAAAACAAATAAAACAACAGAGAAAACGCTACCACCAACATATCAAACAAGCTCATTTTGTGTGAACAATGCTACTTTTGCACTTCTTGTGTATATAACTTGTGAATAGTCATGCACATGTCATGCACATGCACTTGGATGCTGAATGAGATTAAGTACAGGACATGGAGTGCTACCAGCTTTTGTTCTGAGCTGGACTGGGCGGCATCCAGCTGGATTGACATCCAGAAATGCTTTGCTGTTGTCAGGCAAAGGGACCAGGTCAGCCACCCTGGACACCACCTGAAACAACACGTTAATCCACCAGGAAACCTCCCAGTTGCACAACACTGTCGAGATGAATGTAGATGAATGACCAATAAGGTCTCCTAACATAGGTAGACACCCGTGGTTGTATATATTTATTGTACACAATGTTTTGATGTTTGGAGAAAAACAACTTTGACAGCATATGAATGTATCAAGACAGCGAACGAAGCGAAGAAGCTGAACTGTGAATGTAAAGACGATTGTGTCGTAACCTCTTCATGAAAGTAATCAAAGGTTATGACAGCACTTTAAATTAAGAAGAGAGATGAGTGTCCAGGCCCATCATAAGATTAGTGAGCCCTCAAGATCCTCTTAAGAAAAAAGTCTTTTTAAAGACCGGCTTACTTTTGAAATGCGTGTGGGACATGAGCCTCACCAAGAAGTTTTAGTGGACACAGGATAGTGTTCCCATCAGGGCATGTTAAACACACTATGTTGGTGTTATCACTGAATGTTGTTGTGGTTGTCTGTGTTAAAGTGATTTGTCTTGTTGATATTTGTTTACTGTTAACCATATGCGGTATGATGGCATGAAATGTCTTGAAAACAAAGCCACAAACTATTGCGTGTGACATGTTGAAGAGGGCTGTGCATATCTAAGCCATTGATCTGAGAATTAACTCAGGATTTCATTATTTTTGTGCTGTGATTTAATTACAAGAAGTGGCATGGGATTGCTAACACATACAGAGCATAAGATGCTATAATTGTGTTGTCATTGTTTATCAGCTTGGGCTTGAAGAACTCTGAATGCATGACAAAGCACCTTTAAACATTCATGATTTTTTTTTGTCATGTAATGGCTCTACATATATCAATAAATCAGTTTAGTCAAAGAGAAACTTTGGTTTGTCTCTCATTCTTGTGTCTCCTGGTAAATATTGTGAAGAATAACACCTTTCTGTCTCATACTAGAAATAGGAAAGAACACCATCTAATGCACTAGATGTCAGCACAGGCTTTCAGCCATTTTTCTTTCACTGAGGAAATGAGAGACTGTTGGTAGCACTTTGGTTTGCACTGGTGCCCCGAAGACGAAAGGTTCTTTTCTAGAGAAAATTTGATTTGAATGTAAATTTCTCTTCTGCAGTCCAGACTATTTAAGATACAACACCAACAAAGTTTTGGTTTAAAA